TTGTGTCCAGAATGAGTCCAATAATTAATCTCATCCAAGAATTTAGCCAAATGAGAGCTCCATCCCTTGATAATATCTTTCAAATCACACAGTGATATGTAATTTATCATGCTGTCATATACTATTATCTTCAGGGATGGGAGCTGAAGTTGGACGAGAAGCCAATCACGACGTTCCAAAACAGGGATAAACACCTGCAATCATAAGTAATAATTCATTTATTTGCGCACTTATTTATGAACACCTTTAAAAAATTTAAAAAATAAACACTAACCTTATCGACCTCCCACCATGCAGGATAAAGTTTAGCTTGTCCGTTGCCCAACGAAAATGATTCATCTCGTTGATTCTTCAAGTGAACTGCGTGAAAAGCCGCCGACATTATTGTATATCGCGAATTTTTTTTATTTTTCCTAAGCTTCCTTATTATTAGAAGACGTGACACCCACGCATCGATATACTGTTTTACAAAAAAAAGACATATATTAGTGAATTACATTAATTTTTAAAAAAATTAATCAAAATCATATATAAGTCAAATATAAGACTTACCTCCCCATCGAAATAGCCACTATCTTCAACCCCTAATAACACACCCCACCAAGACCGATTAAGCAACAAATACATCTCATCGTTGAGTTTGCTTATGTCAGTGTAACACCCTTGGCTCCGCTCATGTAGATAAAAATCAACTGCGGTCTTAGCCCAAAGGGTATTATCCAGAATTGTTTCTGGTAGTTGTCTCATCTCCAATTCAGATACCGGAAGGGTACTAGCCTGTAACTCATACGAGAGCCAACTCTCATCCATCATGTCCGGCAACGGTGGGGGTTTCTCAATAATTCGATATATTACCCCATGTGAATCGGGCTCTAGAATGGTGGGAGGGACCTCTTCAACGATGACAGTGGCCTCTTGAACGGTGGGGGGACTCTTGAGGGATGATAGGGGCCTCTTGAACAATTGGAGGGGACTCTTGAGGAATGACAGGTGAGTCGGGCTTCTTCTTGCGGAGTCTTCGCACTATTGGGGTGAACGGAGACGTAATAGCACGTGCACGCCGTCTGATGCGTGAACTCCGTCGTGCAAGGAAAACCCGACGTAAAGCATCCACCTTATCGGGCCGCTAAAAAAAATTAATACATAAATCAGTAAATAAACAGACATGATATTAAACAAAGACAAATATGTTTCAAACTTGCATTGTATTCACCCAAGTCATTATTCTATCATAGTTCACAAAATGCATCAGATAACATTCCAGAAGTAAGCACTTATATAAACATTTAAAAGGACAACATATATAAACATTCAAGAAGAAGAATAGTTTACTTTCGCAACACGAAACTTACTTTCGCAACACGAAAATAACTATCGCAACGCGGAAATGACTATCGCAACGCGGAAATGGCTATCGCAATGCGAAATGAAAATCGCAACGACAAAATCGCAACGCGAAACACAAATCGCATTACGATTTTTCATTTCGCGTTGCGATTTTGTCGTTGCGATTTTCATTTCGCATTGCGATTTTGTCGTTGCGATTTTCATTTTGCATTGCGATAGCCATTTCCGCGTTGCGATAGTCATTTTCGTGTTGCAAAAGTAAACTATTCTTCTTCTGCAAATTGAAACTTGAATGGATTGCATTACTTCAACCAAAAGACAAAAACAAAATCAAAAACAAATACTAACAAAAACAGTTTAGCAGTATTGGCAGCAACCGAATGAATTTATTAAGCAATCTACGTGAAATGGTTAATCTAAGTGAAATTACGAGTAAATTTATCATCAAGTTAAATATGAAAAATCTTAAACTTACCTCGTTGCGTAGAGTATGAACCTCATTCTGCAACGATGCTACCATCTCACGTAGAACGGCTACATCACCGCGTAAAGTAGACACCTCAACACACCATGCACCATCGTCTTTGCGTAAAGTACCGACCTCCTCACGCAAGGCATTAACCTCATCACGTAACTCTCCTAACTCATCCCGTGGAGGTGGAGAACAGGGAGATAAACATCGTGGCATCTTTGCCGGTCGCCTATCTTGCGGTGATGGTGGAGAAGAGGCTCGATGATGTGATAGAATAGGTGATGGCTGTCGTTGTGGAGGTGTATAGTCGGGTCGATCAGGTGATTGCTCTGGGTGAGGTGATAGCTCTGGATGAGGTGATGGCTCCCGAAGTGGAGGCTGCTCATCATCCGTGCCATCAAAAAAACGCTTACTAGCTTGCCACCAATCAGTGGCAAGCTCAGCTTTCATGGGTGTCAGCCTCTGTAATGGAGTGTTGGCCTCCTAACAATATAAAAGCTCAAACAAAGTTAAACGTGTACTAGTAATAACTTGTTTATAAACATATGGTAGTATTTATGTTAACTTACATTATTTATTGTCGTATACCGTAGTAAATCTTCCCATTGCAAGGTCCGTTTCCTCTTCCAGGAAATAGCCCTGGGAATATCATTTGAAGTTTTTATTGCATATGTCTTCATGGCGGGAAAGGCCTCAAATATCCAAATCTACAAACAATATAATAACAAACATTAGTAATTGTTAAATAAATACTTATAATTTTGGAAACATTATATAAAAATTCTTACCTTAAAGGCCCAAATAAAGCCTGTCAAAGTGTATTTGGAACCATCGCCATGCAAACTTTTTCGATCATCCAAGGCAGACGATAACTTATTCCATGTAGCTTTCCATAAATACGAGCCCCATGGAAACATGTTCCACGCATTTAGGTCTTCTACCAATTTGATTAGATCATTTGGAATAGGTTGTCTGGCCTCTCTGCCTAAAAAGCTGGCATGCAAAAGTATTAGAAGGCATACTCGGACAACATCGACGTCATCCATCTGAGTAAAACCATCTTTCTTATTCAATAATATCGTCAGGTCTTCCACGTGTAGATTCGGCCTCTCCAGCTCAGGAAAAACCCGGGATAACCATGATGGGCGGGTAATGTGTCTAGTGTACCGACCTACATCATCGTGTCCGAAGCGTAGACCGGTGATTAAGCAAAACTCCTCCTGCCCAAAACACGTATACGCCGGTGGAAAATCAAACCATATCTCTTCATCACGACGTTGTATAGTATATGGTAGATCCCTAGTCATGGTTTGAAGAAACAGGTGTGTCAACATCGCATCTCCACCGGGATGTTGTACTTTCAGCCATGGCCCGAAGCAAGTATCCTCAAACATTTTTCTTTGTGCAGGTGAAAGCTTCGACGCAATTGTTTTGGCCAGGCTGACTTTATTTCTTAAGGTCAATTGAGCCGAATAAAAGTTCTACAAAAACAATAAACATACTAAGTTAGATATATCAAAAACTACACTGTGAAGATATACCAAAAACAATAATAAACATAAAGAGTAGTAGTTTATTCTTCAAACTTAAATTTGCAACACTGTGAATTTCTTATTTGTCTTTATTTTTTGGTTGAAGTAATGCAATTCATTCAAGTTTCAATTTGCAGAAGAAGAATAGTTTCTGAAAATGAAAATCGCAACACGAAAATGAAAATCGCAACGCGAATTTGACTATCGCAACGAGAGAATAAAATCGCGTTGCGATTTTCATTTCGCGTTGCGATTCTCGGTTGATTTAATAAGCAATCTAAGTGAAATGGTTAATCTATTATTGAAATTACCAGTAAACTTATCATCAATTTCAATATGAAAAACCTAATAATAATGCAAAAATTTCAAAAAGAAAATAATTAAAAAAATTAACCCTCGGTGGTTGATTTGGTTGATTTTCCATTTCTGATTGTGAGGGTGGCTCTGAGAGATGGAGATAGACGGATTTCGCCGGAGATGGGGACGGATTTCGTCAGAGATGGGTGAGAGAGTGAGAGATGGAGATGGGACTGAGTTGTGATTTTAGGTTTTAGGTTATGAGTTGCGATTACGGGATATACTGTGGACGGTTCAGTGTTCCAATATATTAATATTCGTGTTTGGAATTTGAAAATAAAATACGCTTTGCGATACTAATGGCGCTTTGAAAATCGCATTGCGATTATGTATTATCTCGTTGCGAAAGTCAGTATTGAGTTGCGAAATTAAGTATCGAGTTGCGAAAGTCAGTATCGCGTTGCGATTTTGTATTATCGCGTTGCGATAGTCAGTACCGCGTTGCGATTTTCCAAATTCGCATTGAGATAGTCAGTATCGCATTGCGATTTTTCAAATTCGCATTACGATTTACTTATTCGCATTGCGAATTGGGAAAATCGCAACGCGAAATTGGAAAATCGCATTGCGATAATTATAATCGCGTTGCGAATCTGGAAACTGATTTGCGATAATGGAGATCGCGTTGCGAATTAGCGATCGCATTGCGATTTTGTTGGTCATTTTGGCAAATCCGGAAAAAGTTGGTTAAAATCGTATATTATATGAGATTTTTGGTCACTGAGGTTATTTTCTCTTTAGAATTAGCTTAACTTGAGTCATTTCAGTTTATGGTTGTTTGATATTGATCACTTTGGTTGCAAGTCCTTTTTGGTTCGGGTGAGTTTGATGTAGATTCAAAATTGACGAATTCAGATTGTTATCTTCTTATGATAAAATTATGTTGAAACTTGAAATTTTTAAAATGATCATTCTAATTCAAATATAACTACAGTACTACTTAAGTATTGATTAATCTAATTACAATTTATTACAACTTTATCTATTTCACAAGTTTTATTCTATCACATATACCTACATTTCTAAATCATTATTAAAATTGGAAATAATTTTTTAATATAAATTTTCTAGTGCACTTAAAGAGTTATTTTTAAAAAAATATATTTTTTTAAAAATAATATTCAAAACGTTTCACGAATTCTTATCTATAATATACAAAACGAACAGAAACATCGAGAACCTCTTTTGAATTAGATATCAAAACGGCAGCGTTTGTACATGAATCCTTCTATAAATATCCCCGGTTTCAATCAGAGTTAAATTATTATTATATTTAGCATTTTCCTGCTGACTCTGAATTTTGTTTTCTTTCTCTCTTTTCAATCCGATAAGGGTTTCTATCACCGCATGTGATTGAATGTTTCGGAGGAAATAATGGCGTCGACTTCGAAGAAGATAATGCTGAGGAGTTCCGACGGCGAGACTTTCGAGGTGGAGGAAGCTGTGGCGGTCGAGTCGCAGACGATCAAACACATGATCGAGGACGACTGCGCCGACAACGAGATCCCTCTACCGAACGTCACCAGCAAGATCTTATTGAAGGTCCTTGAGTACTGCAAGAAGCACGTCGATGCCGCCGCTGACAAGGAAAAGAACCCCGAGGATGAAATAAAGGCTTGGGATGCTGATTTTGTCAAAGTTGACCAAAATACCCTCTTTGACCTCATCTTGGTTAGTTCACCCACTTTTGACTCTCTCTTGTTATTTTGATGCCCTAATGATTTATTTGACATTCGCAATGCTGCTAATTTAGGGCTGTTGGTTTTAATTGAAATCGTATGCTTATCTGTTTATTGCTCTATCGGCAGAGATCATGATTTACACGATACAGTTACGGAGCACTACTATACTTATCGAGTTAAACAACTTGTTTAAAAGCTTCAAAATTTATTTGGAGTTATGTAATATAAGTTCTAAAAAACGTAGACTATGCTATGCAATTAAGTTTCACGCAAGCAGGGACGATTGGAGGATCTTATGTTAGTGATGAGAAAACGTAGGAAATTATATTAAAAATTTAGAGGGTGCGAAATTAAAATTTTTAAGGTGTTACGAAATTAGATCACTTAAACTACGTGGGAATTTGAAATTTCCAGGGGTGTGATTGCACTCCCCAGTCCCCAGTACCCCTGGGTCCATCCGTGCACACGCAAGTTGCTATTTGCATTCAATTTTTTGTTCTTTGTACCAAAAAGTCCACGTTCCTGTAACAATGGCTTATTGACCTTGATAATGCTAATTCAACTATTAAATCTATAGGTTATTGCTTATGTTGTTGTGGTTTACTTTCGATTAGTGTACTAAACCTTTTAATATTTTGATACTGGGATTTTGCAGGCTGCGAACTATCTGAATATCAAAAGTTTATTGGACTTGACCTGCCAAACTGTGGCTGACATGATTAAGGGGAAGACACCCGAGGAGATTCGCAAGACGTTCAACATCAAGAACGATTTCACCCCAGAGGAGGAGGAGGAGGCTAGGAGGGAGAACCAGTGGGCATTCGAATGATAGGAAAGCTTTTAAATTAAATGTTGATATTACCATAGTTTCTGATTTTTTCGGGTTTTATCAGTGGGTTTTCTAGTTGGGGAACAATGAGAGATGGCTTTATCTGGGTTATTTTGTTCTATGCATCAGCCGGTTCTACTTGTTGGACGATTTACTATGAACAGCTCCACAATCTATTATCCTAATATAATTAGAATTTCATAATTTGCCTCTTGGTTCTTGTGTTGTGTAATATGCAATGCATACATGCATACAATTTTATCTATAATTGCTCACATAAACACGTACATCATCATCATCATCATCATTGCATTTATTTAACTGATTAATAGAAACATTGAATGATTAAAGGGTATTTTTTTCTTCTCTTATTTGATTGATTTTATGTCCAGCGCATCTCTTGATACTTTTTGTTGAGCAGCTTTCTGTCTTCTTCCCACTTGTCTCGATCCTCATTGTGTTGATCTTTCAACGAGCTTTTAACTTTCTCGAATCTCTCCTCCTTTTGCAGCAACTTTTTCTTGTATTTATCCTTGTACTTCTCTTTGGCTTTCAGTGCTTCTTCCTCTTGCAACCCCCTGCAATTCTCACAAGCTGCAACTTTCTTTCCCTCTCCTTGGCCATCCTTTTTATCTTCCTTTACTTTTGTGCATAATTCGAGTGTCCCCTTTCCTCTCAGGCTGTTATCGATCCCCTGCAAGAATTCATCAAAACATAAATAAGAGGAGTAAAAAAGTGGGGGGGGGGGGAAACCAAGGCACTTACACTTTGATTGAAAGTTGTTGATTTCAAGTTGTTTAAGTGAGTTGAGAGTAAAGCATAAAGATCGTGGAGAAGGAGCTTGAGCATGAAAACAAGGAAATCATGCAGTATCAATGCAGCAAGCGTGGCAACAAAGTGTTGTTTGTTGCCCTGGACAGCACAGTAAAGCATACACATCAACAAGGTTCGGTCGAGCCAAAAACAATTGTTCTTATCTGCATCCATCAGATATCGCTCTCCCATACCTCTTTGGCACTCGCGATGAGCAAACACAGAATCATATAACACGGCGTCTTTCATTATATATATATATATATATAGGTGAATAAAGGCAAGGGAATTTCGAACAAAACATATAAAGGTAAGCGAATAAAAAGAAAAACCTACCCCTAGCTTCAAAGTTACGTCATCCCTTAAATAGTAAATCAATTAATTTTAAAATTTTACTCCTACAAAAGCTGCTGATATTTAAAGCTAGTTTAACATTGTTTTTAAAATTTATACTAAAAGTATTTTAATAAGTAATGTTAAAATATATATTTCCTTTTTTTATGCGATCACATTGTAGAATTTGAAAGTGTCACGTCATTAGAAGGATTAAAAATCCAAGTTTAGGGATCAAGTTGGGAAATTTTGCTGAATTCGAGGAGTGATATGGACAAAAAGAATCATGCATCAAATTGAAAGAAGATGTAGATATAGGGAGTAAATGTGTATTTATTCCTTTTTATTAAAGAGAAGCTAGGGTCAAACAAACTGGGCTTATTTTGGATTGTTCCTGCATAAATCAATGGGCTCCTTAATTAATGATGTAAAGTCCAATATCAATTTCTTTGTTCTTTTCACCCAAACCAAACGGCCGAAATGTATGCGTCCTTTAAAAAAAATGTAGAGATTGCAATTCTTTTCTCTTTTGGGCCTAATGGCTCAAATAACAATGTCTCCATTAGTTGTTGCAAGCAATATTTGAATGTCACCTTTCTTTGAATGTATCAAGAAAATGTTATCTTTTGAAATTGCATCTAATAAAATTAAAAATTGTATTTTTTTCAAAAAAAAAAATAAAACTATAAATATAAAAAATGACTTACAAAGATCGTTTATATAATAAAATTTCATAAAACTAAATCAAATTTAATCAATATCAACAATCAGTTGGTCTAATTGGATGAGACAATCGTATTCCTAAAACAAAATCATGAGTTCGAATTATAGTGTTTTCAAATGGAGCAAATTGAGTTGAAAGGGTTGCCATTCCCTTTGCAAGACTGTATCTGAATTAATTAATCAATAGACCGAATATCTATGGTTATAAAAAATCAAATTTAATCAATTAATAAAATCTAATATCAATAATTATACAGGTTATAAATCCATAAAATTTATAATTACTAATGTTTCAAGATTTGACCATCTCGATTTTAAAATCTGTGTAGTGTAAAAAGAGAGCAGAATTTAATTAAGTAAAGAAGACGAAACGTGGAAACCCCGAGCTTTGGCAATTCAATTCGGCTCATCAGCATTTTATTTTATTCTTCTTTTATCAATAAAAAAAGGCAGTTTCTATGCACATAACAAAACAAAACAAAACAAAACAAAACATCAGTAGTCACATTCTAAACACAAACAACAATATTATTTGCTAAAACCCAGAATTTAGGTCAGATTTTTCACAGGCATTTTGTAATATATAATGATTATCATGATATATATTTAATACGGTTTCAGAGAAACTTTGTATTACATATTACATATAGTATTAGGGTTTGGACAGACAACTGTTGCATCATTCTCGTTCCTTTTACCTATTAGTTCATCAATGATTAAGGGACCACTCACCTTCATTTTCCTCTATAATATTATTATTTAAGGGGATGAGGACATTCCAGATAGATACTTATTTATAAATTCACTTCATCTCCAAAAATTAGATTTGGTGGTTTAATTATGTTTTAGTCCTCTACTGTTGCGAAATTTCCTTTAATTTCATATAACATAGAGTTACATTTATCTACCGTTATTGGTAGGTCTCATATTGTGTAAAACTCTATATTGAAAGAATGTAATTCCGTGTCCTTTTTCATTACCACAGGGGTTCAATATATACACAGTCATTAGTAGATACAATCCTAATCATTAGGCTATAATTTAGGAATTAGGCTATAACTTAGGCAACTAAATATACAATAGTAAATACAAAATATTTGGAGAATATTTTGTAATTAGGAATTAGGCTATAACTTAGGCAACTAAATATACAATAGTAAATACAAAATATTTGGAGAATATTTTGTAATCTATCACTCTCCCGCAGTCGAAACGGGAGGATCTCGAACGTTAAGATTGGTCCGGAAATCGTCAAACAATATAAGGGGCAACCCCTTAGTGAAAATATCCGCAATCTGGTACCTAGACGGCACATGACGAACACGAACCTCACCCCGTGCAACTTTTTCTCGAACAAAATGAATATCCATTTCAATGTGCTTCGTACGCTGGTGTTGAATGGGATTACCAGAAAGATAGATAGCACTCACATTGTCGCAGTAAACCATTGTTGCTTTACGGATGGGACAGTTGAGTTCGAGAATAAGATTACGAAGCCAACAAGACTCCGAGACAACGTTGGCAACTCCCCTGTATTCTGCCTCGGCACTTGATCGGGAAAGCGTAGGTTGTCGTTTGGACGACCATGAGATCAAATTGTCACCCAAAAAAACACAATACCCGGAGGTGGATCGTCGAGTATCGGGACAGCCTCCCCAATCCGCATCCGTATAAGAGACAAGATCGGTAATGGAGGAAGGAGAAATATGTAAACCAAGATGAAGAGTACCTTGGATATACCAGATGATACGCTTGAGAGAGTTCATATGTTCATCCCGAGGGTCATGCATATGGAGACAAATCTGCTGAACTGCATAGGAAATATCCGGCCGCGTAAAAGTGAGATATTGCAGGGCACCCGTAAGGCTGCGGTACTGAGTTGGATCAGCATATCGTGCACCGCTGTTGGCACTCACCTTCGGCTTGGTATCAACTGGAGTCTGACTGGGCTTACAAGAATACATGCCTGCTCGATCAATGATGTCCTCAGCGTATTTTTGTTGTGATAAAAACAACCCACCCTTGTGTCGAGTCACACTGATACCGAGAAAATAGTTCAAGAAACCCAAATCCTTCATAGCAAACTCAGAGTTGAGACGAGCCATTATAGACTTGCGAAGATGCTCAGAAGACGCCGTCAGAATAATGTCATCAACGTAAAGCAGTAGGTATGCCATATCCGACCCGTGTTTGTAAATAAATAAGGAAGTATCTGATTTACTGTTAGAGAAACCAATGGAAGAAACAAAATTAGCAAACCTCTTGTACCACGCCCGAGGGGCTTGTTTGAGCCCATAGAGAGATTTACGCAGTAAACAGACATAATCAGGATGCACTTGATCTCGAAATCCCATAGGTTGGTGCATATAAACCGTTTCCTTGAGGTCATCATGCAAAAAAGCATTGCTTACATCTAACTGATGAATCAACCATTGTTTCGACAGGGCAAGACTAAGCACAGTACGGATTGTTGCTGGCTTCACTACCGGACTGAAAGTCTCTCCACAATCAATACCAACACGCTGAGTTTTACCATCACCTACAAGACGGGCCTTATGCCTCTCAAACGAACCATCAGACTTTATTTTATGAGTAAAAATCCACATAGAATGAATGACATTAACTCCAGGAGGACGGGGTACCAAATCCCACGTCTTATTTTTAATAAGAGCATCATATTCGTCAGTCATAGCAAACTTCCAATTCGGGTCACGAAGTGCAACCACAGGGTTACGTGGGAGAGGAGATCTCGTAACCGTGATAGTATGGGCCTCGGATGGGTCAAATATAGTTTTTGGCTTAAAGATACCATGCTGGCTGCGGGTGACAGGGCGTTCGAATGGAAAAGGGGGCGGTCTGGGCCGAATTGGTGAAGGGTTTGGAGGAGACATGACTGGTTGGGTCGTATGAGAAGAAAGTGGAGTCTGTTGTGGTTGGTTTTGATGAAGAAGATACGGCGACACGCCATATTCAAAAAATCATAATCACTTGTACTAGGTTGATGGACTTTGGTAAAAGGGAAGATAATTTCATCAAATTGTACATGCCGGCAGATTATGATTTTATTGTTGGATAAATCAAAACATTTATACCCTCGATGATTATCGGGATAACCCAAGAAAACACAGGGAGTGGATCGAGCTTGTAATTTGTAAATAGTCGTGGATGGAATAAGAGGATAACACAAGCACCCAAAAACCCGAATGTGAGAATAAGAGGGAACCCGGTGGTATAAAATTTGTAGAGGAGACGCATCGGCTAGTAGTGTACTGGGAAGAATATTCAAAAGATGGGTTGTCATATGAAGCGCATGATGCCAAAAAGAGTGTGGCAAA